TATGTGTGTGTGCCTCATATGTTATATGGAAAATGTATTGATCAAGCATGCTATACAGGTTTTGAAGATATGTATGAAAAATGTATGTTTTTTATCTACTAATATGTTGGGTAGAACATGGGTAGATAGTTCGTGTGTAATAAACAGATGATAGGCCTCGGTGTGTTGTTTTGATCCAGTCATCTAGCGGAATTCAGATGACGACCACAGACTTTTCTAGACAGTCCAGTGGAACGCTAGCAGGCTCATAACCTGTAGGTGTTAATGAACTTGGGTGTTCATTCGCTGTATTCCATCCCCCTCATGGTTGCCTTATTTGACTTATATTGCTGAGGAACCCCCGCAGCATGTGTTGTCACCCCGATGAAAATATTCTTAGATTAGGTCCCTTGTGTTAGTTATTTTAGGGACGTAAAGTGAGAATAACGAGAACGGGTAACTGGGTTATTGTTGGTTGATAATAATTAATTTAATTATTTATTCTGGGTTGAAAACCCTATATGCTCACCAGGCTCCCAAGCCTGACCCACTCAGTTTTATTTGTATTACAGGAAGTGGCGCAAGGGCGTAAGATGGATGAACCATCAAGTTGCTTTGTTTACAAGTCTGTATATGTAAATATTTGTTGAATGACTTGTAATGTTATCGTTTATGCTTGTTGGTCTATATCGGAACATGACACCCCGAGTTTTGATTATATAATGAAAAATACATTTCTTTTATGAAATGCTTTGGTAAACATTGTTTTATCATGTTTTGTTTTTGGGAACAAATTCCGCAACTCTTTCAAATCAAAAGGATTTACTCTGAATTTATTTTAAAAGCATAAATGAAAATCGGTCTTTTCTGGTCGAGATTTTAGGGATGGCACAGTATGTAGGAAAGAGTTAGAGTTCAGAACCCCTATTGGGCTAGAACAGTATGCATGGAAGAGTTTTCCAAAGGGATAATTCGGGATGATGAATGCTAGTCGAGCGGTTCGGACAGACTGAAGGCCGGTGGGCGTACCAGTTAGGCCGAAGGCTCGGGGACGGTCCAGACAAGCTGAAGGCCGTAGAGGACGGTCCATACATGCTGAAGGTTCTGAGAGTGGTCCAGATTGGCTGAAGGCCTAGTAAGGCGGTCCAGTCATGCTGAAGACTCTGCATGTGTTGATAAATCTGTATAAGGAGATGGAATGAGTGTGTTGCGACGTGATAGCATCAGAAGGTCTGGCCCCAGGTGTTGATCATGATTAGTGGAAGCTAGTGCATGGACTCGAGAGTCCTTGCGTGCAGATTCAGAGCATGTGTGGTGTATGGAATAGCAATTATGCTAAAAGGGAATGGTGTAGCATTTGGCGAGCACCGTGTCACTTGTTGTAGTGACAAGGCGGCCAAGTAGATTTCCTTGGATAAGGAAAGGGAAATGTATGTAGCTCCGAGAGGGAGTGTATGTTTGCAGAAGCGAAAGCGGTAGCGTAGAGGTGTGATTGAGGTGTCCCAATCATGGTTATTGAGCAGTGTGTTTGCATCGGTGGTACGGAATCACATCCGGGCTGGATGTCTGTGGATGTCACAGAAGGAGTTCCGAGGGTGTAGAGCCAAAGAGGCTCGGAAGGGATGCAACGATGGAGCCTTGGATTCCTAGTTTGGTTTGGACAAGAAATTATGCATGTAGTGGTAATTCATCCTGGAGGGGGATGTTTGGAGGTGTCGTCAGTGCATCAGGTTTTCCTAATCCGAGAATGCTAGAGCTAGTTCAGCATGTGTATGTGATTGCGGAAGAGAACTCATGGGAGTTGCTCTAAAGCTGAAGGATGTTTCATCCCGTCAGCATGGAAAGGATAGAGTTAGACTCAGAAAGGGAGCAGGTAAGTCTCTGCAGTGAATTCGGTGAAGGATACGTGTAATGAGGAAAATGATAGCAGTGCGGTACCGGATCGGGATCCCGGTGGTTGAAGGTTATATCTAGCTCGTAAGAGTCAAGTGATTGTTGTGATTTGGAACGACTGAAGTACCAAGGGGTGGAACTCGATTGATAAGTGTGATTATCAGAGGATGAAGCCGGTGCCCGGCTTGAGGTGGTGGTCAGGACACCGCATGGGAGGAGTTGGGTTTCGGGTTTCGATGGTAGTGTTTTGAGGAACCTGTTTTGGTTAATGCCAGGTGGGGCATTGCGAGAGTAGTTTCTGGATTTGGGTTGACGCAGGCTTCAAGGACGAAGCCTAACTTAAGTGAGGGAGAATTGTAACATCCTGGAATTCAGAAGTAAAGTGGAAGGGCTAAAGGTGTAAATAAGAAGGTCGACTCGGCGAGTCGATGGATGGACTCGGCGAGTCGAGTCGCGTTGCGGGTCGCATGTTAAGTTACCAACTCGGTGAGTCACATGGGTGGACACGGGGAGTTGGTGCTGTGTGGAGAAAACCCTAATCTCGGGGGTTAAGCCCTATATAAAGAACACAATACCCTCTCCCCATCCTCCTTACCTTCCCTTTGAGTTCCAAAAGCCCTAGATTCGTGTGAGCTTTCCTTTGTGAGTAATTAGAGCCTTGGAGGAGGAAATCTTGGAGGGGAATTGAAGAGCAAGAAGATTTGGAGCAAGGGGATTTGTAGAGATTTCGTTCATTCTCAAGTAGGAGCTTGCATTGGAGGTAAGAGATCTGTTCTTGAGCTTTTGTGCATCTAGATTTATCAATTGTGGGGTTTTTGGAGCATAAATGAGGTCCATCTCGAGTTTGGTGTAAGATCTGAGGTTGCTACCTCAGATCTAGGATTGTAATGGTCCAGGAAGCCGTAAAGTTCGTGCCCAAGAGTTGTTAGTGAAGCCTTCCTATCCCAAACCCTAGCCCAAGAGTGTTTTATGCTTAGATCTCTTTGGATTCACGTAAAGTTTGCAACTTTACATGAGGAATAGCTTGTGGAAGGGTACATCTATGGATTGGAGCCCCTGCATGGGTTGGCAAGCCACTGTATGGATTAAGAACTAGAGGTACTCGGAGAGTCACATGGGTGTACTCGGCGAGTTGGATGAAGATAGGCAGGGACTCGACGAGTTGGAAGAACAACTCGGCGAGTCTGTTGAAGGTGGCCTTGGACTCGGCGAGTCTGCTCTTGGACTCGGCAAGTCTGGTCGCGAAGTCCTAACCATTTTGGTTGAGCTGTGAATCGGTGAGTCAAGGGACGACTCAGTGAGTTGATCTGGAGGTGACTTAGAGTTCGTGAGACTCGACGAGTTGGGTCGCGATATGGGAGTTTTCAGAGCATGGGGACTCGACGAGTCAGCGGGATGACTCGGCGAGTAGAGTCAGTCAGGAAGTTTGAGCTTGACTGGGGACTTTGACTTTGACCAAGAGTTGACCAGTTGACTTCAAAGGGTATTTTGGTAATTATTAGTATTTATTGAGTTCAGTGTTTTGGTATTATCAGTGCTAGAGTTCGTGTTGGAGGTTGGAGCAGCGTCAGCTTATCTTTTCAGTCAGCAGTTGTGAGGTGAGTTATCCTCAATATATCGACACGGTCTAAGGCACCAAGGCCGGCCCTTTATCGGATTGTAATCCGGGCAATGTTGTTGTGTTATTGTTTTGCTATGCTTGCATCCTGGTAGTTAGGATGGTACACGTTAGTGACCGGTTAGGTCGGTATCCTGTTTAGAGTATGGTATGTATATGATCTGCTAGATCGTTGACTGATGATTAATTGTTATGTGGTTATATGTTTATGTGCACATGGATGGTTGATTGGGGTTGGGTTGAGGTGGGTCGTTATTTGTGTTGTAGGCCAACATACCCAGGCCGGACTGGTTATCCCGAAGGACCAGCGAGCGGTCCAGATAGGCTGTAGGCCTTGCGAGGGCGGACCAGACGTGCCGACGCTCGAAGAGTGGACCAGGCCAAGTAAAGGCCTGATGCAGGCAGACCAGGCATACTGTAGACTCAGAGAGTGGACCAAGTGATTGATGTCCCAGTGAGGGCGGCTCAACCACACTGCAGACTCGATGGATATGGCTAGACTCGGAGGGTGGACCAGGTGGACTGAGGGCCCAGTGTGGACCAGTCACACAGTAAACTCGAAGTACATGGTTGTTCTATTTGGGCGTATCTCACTAAGCTTTCGGGCTTACAGTTGTGGTTTAATTTTTTTCAGGTACTTCAGGAGACCGTGACAAGGCGAAGGCGTGAACGTACCGCTCCTCATGTTTATGTTTTATGTTATGCTTCTGGGAATACTCTGATAATAAATGTATTGAAAACCTTTTTATAATAACTAATGAATTTGGGTTGTTTTTAAAAAGTTTAAATTGGCTTGAATTTTTAGAGTGTTACATATACTAGACCGATAACCTAAAGCCCATACATAAAGAGCCCACCAAAAACACACTTAGCCCACCGAAATCACTAGGTGATTTCGCTCAAAAAACAAGAACACATAACACAATAAAAAAAAAGCATAAACCACTAAATATAACCTAAAAATCTCCCCCTTGGTTTATTGATTTTTGTTCTCTTCAAGGTTTCTCTACGAGATGCACATTTGCTTGGTCAAATGCCCCCGCCCACAGCTTCTTTAAAATTATTGTAGCTACCATCCCAGTGAAGGATTTTGTGTCAGCCTCAAAAAGTTCATTCTCAATAATTGTTTGAAAGTTTGATAAGGTGTGGATATCATGTTCTCCAAACTTCAACAAGTCTTTGGGATCAACAATATGAAACTAGTTTTTCTGCATCTTGATCACCACTGATGCAGTAGCCTCATCATAAATCCAGAATTGTATTGTATCCAAAGTGCCTTCACGTAAACATTTGGGAAGAGGAATCCTTTTGGCTTGCTTTGTGGGTGGCCACATGACACTCACCCGTGTTTTGTTTGTACGAGGATCAATGACACCCTTGTCCTTCTTAGTAAATGATGAAGCAGTCTTTAAATCTTCAAAGTTTTTTTTTTAACTTTAAACTCAAAAAATTCTTAAAAGACCATGCTGTGGTATCATTGGTAGGATTGTGGAAAGGTGTGTGGATGAGTTCAGAAAGAGCAAAAAAATTTCCAAGAAAAGAAGTCAACTTTCTTCTCATAATATTCAATTCGTCCGCTTTTTTGCTTAATGATCCACATTTTCTTTTCAGCATCATATCCCCACATCATGATGCTAGAACAATCCCCATATTTATCTATGAATTTCTTCCCAGTCTTGCTAAAGAACATTTCAGGATGATCACCTGGAGCATTTTGGTTTGAATGCTTCATCACGAGCATTTTCCCTTTCAATTGCTCAACCCTAATTTTCTTCTCTCTTCTTTCCTGAGTAGAAGCAGGACTAAAAGATAAGAATGAATCAAGGTTATCATTTGGATCAGGTCTTACATCTCTTTCGCTTGAAGAATGTGAAGTTTGATTGGCGGATCCTAAACTAGAAGCATTGATATTTTCTCCTTCACAGCTCAAAGTTTGGAATTCATCACCAAAATTTTGAAATAATTGTTGTTTTAGGTCAAAGAATAAAGTAGTTAGACCACCGAGATTTGCTTAAAGTTCTGAGATCTTTGAATCTTTAATGGAGTTCTCCTTCTCAAGCTCACTAATTTGAATGTCCTGGTTTCCAGTTATTGAATCATTTTCAGCAGAGCTTTGTTTGAGATGAAAGGCTGTTCTGAAGTAGAACCACATCAACTAATTTAGATTCCGGCAACATGCTTTTTCCTTTGAAGATGACCAGCTGGGGTTTTCAAAAGAGCTTCCAGAAGATTAAGCTCCTGCTGAAGGTAAGACTTCTTCTTCAAAAATAGGGCTTTGAAAACCCTGATCCATAGGAGTGGACTCAGGTAATGGGCTTGATATATCTTAAATCACTGGAGAAGACATAATGAATGTGGCTTGTAGGTTTTGAGCTATAGAAACAGGCTTAACCAGACTAGAATTCTTTTGAATTGGGTCTGGGATAAGCACTCCCGACCTTGGATCTCTTTTATTTCCCTTCCTTGGAAGTAAAGCGTCGGCTGGCTCTTCTTGAACACTTTCAGATGGATGTTAAGTAGCAATATGAACTATTTGGAGAGGCTTCCTTTTTGGTTCGCTAAAGTTCTGTAATAAGATTATCCATCTGTTCAGGGGTTGGTATCGAAGATTGCACCATTGTGTCACTTTCCCTTTCAGTCACAACTAAGTTGTGACAGCTGCATCCTCTTCTGTGATGGAGATACGTTGTTGAATAAAATCTTCAAACTCGTTTTCATTAAATTCATTCTCTTGATCTTCTTGATCTTCTTCATCATCGGATACTTCAATCTCTTCAAAGGTGAATTGAAATGTTTGTTTGGGTGCCACGTTTTCGTCGGTAACCTGAGCATTTATGGAACTAATAAAAGGGGTGTCTTCAACCTCATCAAACTTTCCAAATTTAACTAACTCCTTTAATCCTTGATAAGCAACTTTTGCAGCCATTCTCGATTGCTTCATGAGTCCAAAATTGTTGGGACCCAAAGCTTTCATATCTAATGTATCAGATGTCTTTTCGATTTGGGGATATTCTTCATTAAAGATCATTTGAAGGAACCTAGGGTACATCAAAATTAAGTCATTTTTCTTTCCCAGAAGGTCGCTCTTCATCTCTTAAAATATGAACTTTGAGAAGTTGTAATCCAGTCCATAGCTAGAGTGACAATGGCTGAGTTCACAGTCTGACTAAGAACCTCCCTTTCTTCCAGATATGCAAATCACAAAGGAATGTGACAAGAACCTCCGGTAAGGTGGCAGCAGCTTCTTGATAGTTGAAGGATAGGTTCCTTCGTAACATATTTTCTATAGAACTTCCTTGACGCGATCTGCATAGTACTCAATTGGGAATGCAGAAGCATAAAAAAATTCAAGCATCTCTCGGATAACTTGTTCAGAGATTATCACTTGAGTTCCTTTCACCAAAGATTCCAATATACCAGCCAAAGCTGCTCCTAGCTTGTTGATCGAAGCATTTTTTTTTTAGAAATTTGTGATCAGGTCTCAGTGAATGATTGCATTGGCACAAAGTTCTTGAGAAATCATGTAGTTGTTTAAAACCACCATCATGGATTTGAATTCTTGATGAGCAGTAGGTGGATCCATGAAATATCAAGCAATGTTGTGAGATTCTACGGATTTAAGTTGCTCTGTCATTTATCTGCACCATAATAGACAAGTGAGAATTACTTTAAAATTTAATTAAATTGAGTCTGAATTCCGATGTAGGTTAAAGTCAAAATTTAGGTCGATTTTGGTCAAAGAGAAAGTTTCAGTTGTTTTCGGTTAATGACAATATTTCAGTCGATTTCAGTGAAAATGATCGATTTCAGTCAAAATCAGTTGTTGACTAGACGATTTCGGTCAACGCTTGTCGATTTCGGCCGACAACCCAGATTTCGGTCAGATCTTCATCTAATTTCGGTCGAATCCGGGTTAAATAAAAAACTCGAAATCTCATTGAAACCTATTCCAACTCAGGTCTTTGAAAACATATAAAAAAATCCACTCGAAAAACTGCAAATCTGTCAAACCGAGTACACCAAAAACAACTTTAAATAATATTGTCATGATCGAAAAACCAAAAATATACCTGATTCACCGAATAATTTGCAACAAAAGCAATGAATCAGTAGTTTTTATCAGAAGAACTCAAAGATATTAGGAATGAAGAAAAACGAAGATGATGGTTGTTTGGGGTTTTTCAGTGAAAAACCTAACCAGCCAAAAACAATATATATATATATATATATATATATATATATATATATATATATATATATATATATATATATATATATTGTTTTCTGCTGGTTATGTTTTTCACTGTAAAAGAAAGCCTAGATGACCCACTGAACGATTTCTACCCAAACAAAATACTTGTTTTTTTTTAATAAAAATTTGCCTTCGATTTTACTTTTCAAGAACCAAAACAAAAATAAAAGTACAAATAAACATCCCCTTTTTTATTAATTTTTTTTATTATTATTTTTTTAATTTTTATTTACATTAATTTATTTTATTTTATTTTTATTTTATTTATTATTTATCCCCCTAAATTTGTGCATAACAATGAAAATATGTACAAATTTAAATAAAATAAAAAAAAATATAATAAACAGATTCTAATAGAACAAAAAATTTTGGAATCAAATGTTATGGAGCAAGTTAATGAGGTTTATCAGCACACACGTTCATGAAAAGCTCTGGTCAATCATGATATTGTGTTCCACTTAAACACAAATGACATTTTTCAGTAAAGATCATCAGTGACGATATATAGGGACTATATTCCTAGATACGCCATTTTGTCTGACGATGACCATGAATATTGTTGTCCGCTGAAATTTATCCAGTAAAATCTACTAGTCGACCTTTAGTTATGAGTGCAGTTAGTGTTAGTACACTGGAACATGTTCCCCACTTCATTGCATGCCCCAGTAATCAAGGAAATTTCTTCGGAATCCTTTACTTTAGGTGAGTAGATAATCATTGTGGAATTCATATGTTGTGTCCCAGGTTGAATCCACTGATCACGCAGAGGGGACAACATATGACTAACATATAGAGTAGCATATTAGTAGGAGATAATATACTGACTCAAAAGTAGTGAACATCATTTGAGTGAATATGTTGTGTCCCAGGTCTGATCTTCTCATCATGCAAAGGGGATAACATATTGCTAACTAAGAAAGAAAGAATAACGATTGTAAACAGACCCAATTTATCAGAACCCCTTAGTTACCCCTTGTCAATACAAGAATTAAGGACACAAGTCCATATGCCAATGATGTGTTGAGCCACAGATCTAGATGATAGTTAGCTTCAAATTATGTCATAGGCTTCCTTATCTATTTTACTATTAAATCTATCCAAGCATCGTATTATCAATCCAAATGAGGTTTTCTAATTTCGAATGAGTTCACATTGTCTATTCCTTTAGCCTTAGCCCTTTATGCCTACCAACACATTGGACATAGAGTATAGATAATTCAGCTTTAGTACTTTACACGTATTTTATTTACCATTTATCACTAACTCATATCACTTCCCAAAAGATTTTCACAAATTTCCTTTTTTAAAACAAAATGAAAGAAAATAAGAAATACTAAATAAAAATGAAGAAATCCCACAAGCACAAGCTTGGTTTCAGAAAAAAAAAAAAAGGTTTTTGGATGATTGAAAATCAACATTATTATCACAGAGAATAGAATAGTCAGAAATTTGAAATCGTAATTCAACAATTGATGAAATCCCCATTTGTGATCTTTCCTTTTCCTTTCCCGCAAATGACACATTCTCTCCATTAAGATTATGAATGTCATGCAAAAGAGAGATGTCCCCTATCATGTGTCTGGAATAACCATTATTAAGTCTGATTATATTCCTCCATCGCTTCTCTGGCACAGAGTGTGAGATTAATTGGTTTTGGGAACTCAGACCATTTTGAAACTGGGTTGACCTTCGCCATCTACGCATGATACGCATTCCCAAGTCATATCACGTTTATCAAACACAAAAAATGAAGAGATGTTAGAATTTTTAGGTGATTTGGGAGTGGAAAATTTTGGTACCCATCTGTAATCAGGTTTAAACACTTTCTTGTTTAATCGGATGAATGCTTCAACACTTATTTTGGAGCTAGAGACTGATCATCGAGATGACTAAGACCTTACCGATCTTGGTTTGACTGAACTATTTCTCAAATCAAATCTCTTGTCATACATGACCTTTTTGTTTTTGAGATTCTGATTTTTGGTCGTGACAGTATTCCAGTCACCATCACGTGATATCGATGAGTTTCTGTTGAAAGATCTTCCTCGAGATACGTTCTTCTTACCTTCGGAATAATATGGAATATATGCATGATTTGGATGATTTCTGGCAATGTGACCAGGAATTCCAATGTTAAAATAAGTTTGTTTTTTATGAGGAATACATTCAAAACTTGGTCCCCATCCAACTGAATTTCCACAAATACAAGCACATTGTTTCACAACTTTATGTGGCTTAAGATTGTTAGCAGCGTTATCACAAGCCTTTGAAGCAACAAAAGATAAAGTGTTAGTTTTTGAAGAGTTTTCATTAAAACTAGTATTATCTTTGTTTTTCTCGCACCTGTCTTAAACTGTTACTTTCTCTGCACCTGAAGTAGAAACAATAGTATCATTCACCTTAATATTCTTAGTTTTGCCGGATTGTTCAGTCTTAATTGACACAATGACAGTAGGCTGACCATGTTGAATAGATTTTTCGTCTTTATGGTTTCAGAAACAAGAGTATAGTTATCATTAAAGGGAGGTGGTACACTGTGATAGCCTAGACCCTTACCCTGTTTGTCTTTCCACCTTAATTGTTTTTCAATCATTAACTCAACAAACTCACTTGACACATCCAATTTCTTAAAATTAAAGTCAAGATCCTTCTATATAGCCGTTAATTCATCAAGTTCATTAGTTAAGTTTGCAATATTCTCTTTGGCAAAACGATAGTGAACATATTTGGTGTTATATTCTTCCTTAATCCTGCTTAAATCTTTAGTTTGTCCTTCTAGTTTTTTTGTAAGCGTTTTATTTACTTTCTTAATTTCATATATTTCATATTTAAGGTAAAAAAACCTCTCTAACTAATAATTCATTTTGTTCATGGTATTTATTTATTTTACCTTCACAAGA